ACACATAAACAAACCGAGCCGACCAGTACCTGTTTATCACCTTAATGTCATAACTACATGTACTATCTTTAAACGTACTTTTGTATTGCGAGGCCGAGGATCGAACCACCGACTTTCCGCTCCCCTGGCAGACGCTCTATCCACTAGACCATGGAGGCGGTCCCTTATGTACAAATATCTGTGCATCTTGTATTAAAACAAGACGTAATTGCTCTATATTCCTCAATGTTATAGAAGTTACCTTGTACACTGACGCCTAGGTTATAAAATAAAGATAATAACATATTATATATGTTTCGTCATAACTTCGCCGGTAAATGTAGAAAGCAAGGCATACTATTTAAGAAAGAGGGGGCGTTGTTTATTTCTTTTATGAAATATCAACATCATTAACATAATTAACAGCGTATTTTATGATGTTAATAAAAAAAATTAAATAATATTGAGCCCCAGTATATAATACGATCCTTCAAAGTCGGACTTGTCCATTTAATGAACAGGTGAACATTTAACTGTACAAAAAGAAAGCGTGCCAAGTGGATGATTGAGGACATTATCTGTACATTCTGCCATAACAGATTGCCATAATTATCTCGCCCACGCTTGGATGCGATCGTGCGGCAAGTATATGCATTTTCCAGTTATATCTGAGGGGGATAACTCACTACCCTCTCAAAAATAGCATCGTCCAATTTGCGAGGTTATTTCCGAAACTCCAGAAATGATGTCATGATAGAGAATGTTTTATCCAGAAATAAACCACGCCTCGTTCTTTATTGTTCTTTGCGATTTATCACGTAGATATCTTATATTCATATGGACGTCATTACCCTGTATTATCCTTGTGTTTTGCACAAAGCTAGCGTCTGTTAAAGACCTATTGACCTTTAGAGTCACCATGACCCAGTACAAAGTGCAACATCGATAGCTCTCAAAATGTACTAATTTTTTGCGTGTAGATTAACGTTGCGTCAACGTATAAAACACACCTTAATACCTAAGTGGCTATAACTCTGAACTGCTGTCGTGTTCTCACTTCCCTGTTACACAAACGTCACATAATCTGAAAGTTACAACCCTGAGAGGAGTCAAGACAAGTCAAGGGAATACTGTCAGTACAGGAAGACCAACCAGCTAGGGAGGAGCTACCAGGTTGGACATTGAAGTGCACTACCCGTTGACAAGTACCTTTCTTCAGGTTTTACACCGTGCTTCAGAAGCGGGCACAGATACAGTTGAGTTATCATGCTGTGGAAAGATCGATAATTTCGAGGAGAGCTGAGGTTATCAATTAGGCAAGTGACATAACGAGGCCAAAAAATATTATGCGTCGATGGCAATTTGCAAGTGTGAGGGTTAGTGCTATACTGAACTAATTATTCTCTAAAGTTTGAAGTTTTTCTTTGAAATACATTGAGTGCTCAACTTTACTTTTGAAGAGGAATTTAATGGAGACGATGTATGCTTGGAGGTTTGGTTTATTGCTTGAACGACTTAGCAGCAATGTGTAGCTCAGAATGTATTGTTAACGTACAACGAATAAGTACTGGGCGGCTATTCCAGAGCCTTGTGCGAGTGATTTATTTTGTGAACGAGATACTTACGAGGAATACTTATCTTCAGTGACCCATTCATACAACTGTCACCGCTATTTTGCCTTTTACTCCCGACGGAATCTTATTCGGCGGTTACATCGGGACCGATGGCCGTCTGACGTTTACGTTCTATTGTCTGTTTTGTTATTTGTCTTAAAAGTGTTTCATAAAATATTTTATCCTCGTCACTCTTTGAAGGTTTCCGCTCTAATAAGCCCACACAAATGAAAGTCCAGTCGTCAATCACAATTAGGTAGACCATTACAGTATTTGATACAGTTTCTCTGAAAGAAGCACAAAAAAGCCTGGGTACTTAAAATATTCAGTATTCAGTAACATTTGTAAGTACGTTTACCAACTGTGAGTTAAGTTAAAATGATTCGATACTCATGTCGAGGTAACGTGTGTTAAATGCTAGGTTTAAACCTGAATTCAACTGACAATAGTGGATGGACAACGGACAGAAACCACGTGTCTATAAATCTAGCTAATAGTGGATGGACAACTGACAGAAGCCACGTGTCTATTATTCTAGCTAATAGTGGATGGACAACGGACAGAAACCATGTGTCTATAGATCTAGCTAATAGTGCATGGACAACTGACAGAAGCCACGTGTCTATAGATCTAGCTAATAGTGGATGGACAACTGACAGAAGCCACGTGTCTATAGATCTAGCTAATAGTGGATGGACAACTGACAGAAACCACATGTCTATAGATCTAGCTAATAGTGCATGGAGAACTGACAGAAACCACATGTCTATAGATCTAGCTAATAGTGGATGGACAACTGACAGAAACAACGTGTTTGTACTTTTAATTAATACTGGAAGAACAACGGACAAACACCACCAAACTGTATATTTAACTAATACTGGAAGGACAACGGACAGAAACCATGTATCTTTGTATTAAACTAATACTGGAAGTACAATTGACAGAATCCATGTGTCTGTTATTTTAACTTATACTGGAAGAATAATTGACAGAAACCACGTGTCTGTATAATTAACTAATACTGAAATTACAATTGACAAAAAACATGTGTCGGTATGCTTAGCTAATACTGGAAGCACAATTGACAAAAAACATGTGTCGGTATGTTTAACTAATACCTGGAAGTACAATTGACAAAAAACATGTGTTTGTATGTTTAACTAATTATGGAAGTACAACTGACAAAAAACATGTGTTTGTATGTTTAACTAATACTGGAAGTACAATTGACAAAAAAACATGTGTTTGTATGTTTAACTAATACTCGAAGTACAAATATCGTGTCTGTATGTTTAACTAACACTTGAAGGTTCTTGCAAAGGTGGAGTTATTAATTGAATCAATGATGAAAAACAAATGTACTGTGTTACTTTCATTGGGGAAAAGGAAGCAGACGTTTCAAAGTGGACGAAGTTGACTGAGCATGAACAATCAACTCGTCAAAACACTGGCCTCAATAAGGTGACGTTCCGCCTCACTCGTCTACTAGACGCTCCACCCTCGCACATGGATGTGCTCAACCCGTTCAATCCGCTTTTGACACCCACACGGCGCTCAGCCCACTTGCGTAAAAGTGGTATGATTATCGTTTAAACTGCCAAGTATATAACGTTTTTCGTGACGTTAACATATTTGTATGACAGTGTAGATTAGATTTTATTTGAATATGCTATTTTTCACATAATATTTTGATCTGTACTAATCATACGGTGCTCCATATTCTCATGTGGTCAGTATAGTGAAATATCCAAACGTACTATTTGTAGTGAGTGAGTGAGTATGGTTTTACGCCGCTTTTGCAATATTCCAGCAATGTCGCAGCGGGGGACACCAGAAATGAGCTTCAAACATTGTACCCATGTCGGGAATCGAACCCGGGTCTTCGGCGTGACGAGCGAACGCTTTTACCTCTTGGCTACCCGACCGCCCCTATATCATTTGGACATACAATCGACATGTGTGTAAACGCCTACCCGCGTGTTTCTCCATGTTCACTATCTGCAGAATCGTTTACCATTTCCAAACCGTTACATCGTAATTTTATCGAATATATATGCGTACTTCTTATACTATCATGTATATTACCCACGGAAACAATTACAATAGCGCTGCCACACGATCTCTTATTTGTAGCTGTCAACGACATTCACAATAGCCATGTGCTATTCCAGCAGCACTGATATACCCAATCATCAGGTGTGTTAGAACACTGTTCCCAATCATCAAGTGTGTTAGAACAATATACCCAATCATCAGGTGTGTTAGAACACTATACCCAATCAACGGGTGTGCTAGAACACTATACCCAATCATCAGGTGTGTTAGAACACTGTACCCAATCACCAGGTGTGTTAGAACACTATACCCAAACATCAGGTGTGTTAGAACACTATACCCAATCAACGGGTGTGTTAGAACACTATACCCAATCATCAGGTGTGTTAGAACACTGTACCCAATCATCAGGTGTGTTAGAACAGTATACCCAATCATCAGGTGTGTTAGAACACTATACCCAATCATCAGGTGTGTTGGAACACTGTACCTAATCATCAGGTGTGTTAGAACACTATACCCAATCATCAGGTGTGTTAGAACACTATACTCAATCATCAGGTGTGTTGGAACACTGTACCCAATCATCAGGTGTGTTAGAACACAATACCCAATCAACAGGTGTGTTAGAACACTATACCCAATTATCAGGTGTGTTGGAACACTATACCCAATCATCAGGTGTGTTGGAACACTGTACCCAATCATCAGGTGTGTTAGAACACAATACCCAATCAACAGGTGTGTTAGAACAATATACCCAATCATCAGGTGTGTTGGAACACTGTACCCAATCAACAGGTGTGTTAGAACACAATACCCAATCAACAGGTGTGTTAGAACAATATACCCAATCATCAGGTGTGTTGGAACACTGTACCCAATCATCAGGTGTGTGACAACCCTACAACCAATCACCAGGAGTATGACAACACAGTTTATATCCAGTCACCAGATGTGTAGCAACACTATTTATACAGTCGGTTTGTTAGCCCAGTGGCCAGGCCCGGATTCGATTCCACGGGTGGGTACATTGAGTGAAGCCCATTTCCGGTGGCATCCTGCCTTGATAGTACTAGAATATCGCTTAATGGGGCGTGAATCCTTACTCACAAATCTTAAATAATCTGTCATAAGTAGCTGATTTAGCACACCTGTACTATCATTTTGTCTGTTCATTCTTTCCTCTGTCTGTCTTTTTCATACTTGTATTAAAACTAGTTGAACAAAACACGTCTATTAGCAACTCATTCAGCGGACTTAAACAACATAAGTTCTTGTAAGTGTATCGAGGTGGAGTTTCAGTAACATAGACAGCATAAAATGAGGACAAGTAAATACAACACCTACCTGCAGAGACTAATGTTAGCGTTAGTCCCTGTGTTTGGCAACTGGCGCTCACAATGAAGTTAGTCCCGTCTCCCGTCGGACTGGGCGCATCACGGAAGCACAGAGTAGAAGGGTTCTTGGTAAGCTTTACCAGCTGTTATATAGCGAGCGGAGAGCGAGCGAACCAGAGATTGGCTCAGGTCAACCTTCCGCGGAGCTGCTGGCGACGGAGGTAAATAGTGGGTATGGGGACGATGGCGTAGCTTCCTTTAGCTGTCACAGTCGCTGCCGAGGGGATGTGAGGGGGTGATTGGGGGAGGGGAAATGCTAGTAAACGATCAGAAAGAAAATGAAGGTAGTCGTCTGCGTGTAAAGTCAACCTGACTCTGGATATCCAAATCTGGGAGGACATGAGTCATGGATAGGATTTTAGGTACAGGTAGAGTTTTCTGTTGTGAATTACACACTGTTATAAGGGTAACGCTATTTTTCAGAGCATTATCATTTGCAGAAGCCCGAGGTCTTCCATTAACTGCCCGACGAAGGAGGGCAGTTGAAAAGACCGAGAGCTTTTGCAAATGATAATGCCCTGAAAAATAATGTTACCGTTATTATAGCTTAAATGGATGGAATTTGTTATCCAAAACAGAAACAACAATATCGGTTTTGAAACATTTTCTGCAATCAACACGAATGTCACTGACCCACTTTTACAAACAGGAAACGTCATAGAACAAACCAGATGACGTCACTTTTGAACGTGACGTCACCTATCCCTATCCTATGACGTCACCTAACAACGGGCGTGATAATGGCCCGTCGTCAAGTAATATGAGGGCATTATCAAGTTACAGTGGCCCGCTCATTTCTGATTACATGCGGGCGGTTAATGATAATTCTATCCATTTTAGCTATAATATATTACATATGTCATTATACGGTGGAGTAAGGAGCAGAAGACAGCAACAAATAGAGACACTCTCAAACAGACATCATAAGGTGGTCAGACAGACAGACATGACAGTTTAATGTACAAGTAACAGGGACGTTTAATATTCGTGTCTCATAGCAGTTTAATATTCGTGTCTCATGGCAGTTTAATATTCGTGTCTCATGGCAGTTTAATGTTCGTGTCTCATAGCAGTTTAATATTCGTGTCTCATGGCAGTTTCGTGTTCGTGTCTCATGGCAGTTTAATATCGTGTCTCATGGCAGTTTTATGTTCGTGTCTCATGGCAGTTTCGTGTTCGTGTCTCATGGCAGTTTAATATTCGTGTCTCATGGCAGTTTAATATTCGTGTCTCATGGCAGTTTTATGTTCGTGTCTCATGGCAGTTTCGTGTTCGTGTCTCATGGCAGTTTAATATTCGTGTCTCAAGGCAGTTTAATATTCGTGTCTCATGGCAGTTTTATGTTCGTGTCTCATGACAGTTTCGTGTTCGTGTCTCATGGCAGTTTCGCGTTCGTGTCTCATGGCAGTTTCGCGTTTGTGTCTCATGGCAGTTTAATGTAGTGTCTCATGGCAGTTTAATATTCGTGTCTCATGGCAGTTTCGTGTTCGTGTCTCATAGCAGTTTAATGTTCGTGTCGCATGGCAGTTTAATGTAGTGTCTCATGGCAGTTTAATGTTCGTGTCTCATGGCAGTTTAATGTTCGTGTCGCATGGCAGTTTAATGTTCGTGTCGCCTGGCAGTTTAATGTAGTGTCTCATGGCAGTTTAATGTTCGTGTCTCATGGCAGTTTAATGTTCGTGTCTCATGGCAGTTTAATGTTCGTGTCTCATGGCAGTTTCGTGTTCGTGTCTCATGGCAGTTTCGCGTTCGTGTCTCATGGCAGTTTCGCGTTTGTGTCTCATGGCAGTTTAATATTCGTGTCTCATGGCAGTTTAATGTTCGTGTCTCATGGCAGTTTAATGTTCGTGTCTCATGGCAGTTTCGTGTTCGTGTCTCATGGCAGTTTCGCGTTTGTGTCTCATGGCAGTTTAATATTCGTGTCTCATGGCAGTTTAATATTCGTGTCTCATGGCAGTTTAATATTCTTGTCTCATGGCAGTTTCGTGTTCGTGTCTCATGGCAGTTTAATGTTCGTGTCTCATAGCAGTTTGATATTCGTGTCTCATGGCAGTTTGATATTCGTGTCTCATGGCAGTTTAATATTCGTGTCTCATGGCAGTTTCGTGTTCGTGTCTCATGGCAGTTTAATATTCGTGTCTCATGGCAGTTTAATGTTCGTGTCTCATGGCAGTTTAATATTCGTGTCTCATGGCAATTTCGTGTTCGTGTCTCATGGCAATTCCGTGTTCGTGTCTCATGGCAGTTTAATATTCGTGTCTCATGGCAGTTTAATATTCTTGTCTCATGGCAGTTTCGTGTTCGTGTCTCATGGCAGTTTAATGTAGTGTCTCATAGCAGTTTGATATTCGTGTCTCATGGCAGTTTCGTGTTCGTGTCTCATGGCAGTTTAATGTAGTGTCTCATGGCAGTTTAATGTAGTGTCTCATGGCAGTTTAATGTAGTGTCTCATGGCAGTTTAATGTTCGTGTCTCATGGCAGTTTCGTGTTCGTGTCTCATGGCAGTTTAATGTAGTGTCTCATAGCAGTTTGATATTCGTGTCTCATGGCAGTTTCGTGTTCGTGTCTCATGGCAGTTTAATGTAGTGTCTCATGGCAGTTTAATGTAGTGTCTCATGGCAGTTTAATGTAGTGTCTCATGGCAGTTTAATGTTCGTGTCTCATGGCAGTTTCGTGTTCGTGTCTCATGGCAGTTTAATGTAGTGTCTCATGGCAGTTTAATGTAGTGTCTCATGGCAGTTTAATGTTCGTGTCTCATGGCAGTTTAATGTAGTGTCTCATGGCAGTTTAATATTCGTGTCTCATGGCAGTTTCGTGTTCGTGTCTCATGGCAGTTTAATGTAGTGTCTCATGGCAGTTTAATGTAGTGTCTCATGGCAGTTTAATGTAGTGTCTCATGGCAGTTTAATGTTCGTGTCTCATGGCAGTTTCGTGTTCGTGTCTCATGGCAGTTTCGTGTTCGTGTCTCATGGAAGTTTAATATACGTGTCTCATGGCAGTTTAATGTAGTGTCTCATGGCAGTTTAATATTCGTGTCTCATGGCAGTTCCGTGTTCGTGTCTCATGGAAGTTTGATATACGTGTCTCGTGACAGTTTAACGTGCAACATGTCTAATGAAAGTTTAACATACAACAAGTCGCGTTGGAGCTTAGTTTACAACATGTCACATGGCAGTTTAACGTACAACATGTCACATGGCAGTTTCACGTACAACATGTCACATGGCTGGTTAGTGTAACGTGCAACATGTCACATGGCTGTTTAACGAACAACATGTCAAATGAACGTTTAATGTACCACATGTCACATGGCTGGTTAGTGTAACTTGCAACATGTCACATGGCTGTTTAACGAACAACATGTCAAATGAACGTTTAACGTACCACATGTCACATGGCTGGTTAGAGTAACTTGCAACATGTCACATGGCTGTTTAACGAACAACATGTCAAATGAAAGTTTAACATCCAACATGTCACATGGTAGCTTAGTGTAGAACATGTCACATGGCTGTTTAACGTACAACATGTCACATGGCAGTTTAACGAACAACATGTCCAATGAACGTTTAACGTACTACATGTCACATGGCTGGTTTGTGTAACTTGCAACATGTCACATGGCTGTTTAACGAACAACATGTTAAATGATAGTTTAACATGCAACATGTCACATGGTAGCTTAGTGTAGAACATGTCACATGGCAGTTTAACGCATACTGTTACAGAACGAATTCACTGTACCCTGTACCACCCTGTGCTTTTCATTCGAAATATACTAAAAATAGCATGTCCTTGTTTCACTTCAATATCAACATAATCCCTTACATCATCGAGCATACGTTTGTGTTGACACACACATTCGATGCAATACACTTTATTTCTCGTAATTCACCAAAGGTGGTACAGACACGAGAGTCATTTGAGGCGGCAAGTCGCCCACACTCGCTGATGATGACCCCCGCGCTTATCAAATATCAAAGCTAAAACTACGATAAACTATAACTATTTCAATGTCTTGGACAGGTTAATAGTTTATAGTTTTGTATCTAAGTGAGTGGGTGAGCCTCAGTATTCCAGTTATATCACAGCATAATTTGGGAGGAAGACCGGAAGTGATGCAGGTCTTAGATGTTTACCCACGAGCCATGGTACGGTGCTGACAAACATAATTGGGACGAACCGGGGTTCAAACCCATAATTCTAGGTTTTAGACGTGTCCAAGATCGTAACTGAGGAATTGCGGCGCCTAAAACGACTGAGACCCCCCCCCCCCCGCCATTGTATTTATGCGTAACATCTTTAAATACAAATGTATGCATTTTTTCAACGTCCGTGATTAAACATATCTTGAAAAAACGCGAACGTCTCAACAATGCATGGGTGGTTTCTCCATGGTTCAGTGTCATCCGTGCAGTCACTGTTTGGGAGAGACTATCAATGGGCGTCGTGTTTGGGTTGGGACAACTTTAACTAGTGCTATAATATAGAGATTAACAGCATTGTATTTATCCAAGTACTTAGTAATGGGATAACATTAATAAAAATGTTTTGTTTTTTAATTAAGTGAGTGAGTGAGTATGGTTTTACGCCGCTTTTAGCAATATTCCAGCAATATCACGGCGGGGGGACACCAGAAATAGGCTTCACACATTGTACCCATGTCGGTTTTTTAATTAAGAAATGTAAGTGAACTGAGATAGTTTGACAATATGGAGAGTAATAGCAGATCGAGAATAGAATTGAACACTAATAATGAGATAAGATTATTACATTTTTAAATTAAGAACTGTAACTAAATGCGCAGTGTTTAACTGTTGCCCATTATTTCAGCTATATTACGACTACGTGTAAATAACAAGGACCAGGTACACGATTGAGAGAAAGCACGTCAAACTATCCACGCCATCGGGGTATGATGACAGTATGGAGGTCCCTGAACCAATGATTTAGAGGAGGTTAATCCGGAGTTTTTGGTGATATTGTACTACAGCCTGATACGTCACCAGTGTCTCATATATTCGTGTGTTATGGAAGTAAAGCGGTGAAACCATTTCCAAAAACATAAGAAGTCCAGAACTGTACGATTAACATCGCATCTCCATCCCAGGACAGATCAGGCAGAACGATGGAATTAAGCATCATTAGCAAACTGTCACTCAGATAAGGGACCGG